TAAATTGCATTAGCATAAGCAAATCAGTGTGCAATCAGTATGGAGCAACCTAAGCTCCCCACGGTGCTTCTTGCTGGCATAATGATGCATTTAGTCTGGTCACCGTCAGTACTATGTAGAATAAATAAATCATGTCTGTACAAAAGAGCCTAGACTGTGATTCGATGAATACCACAGTCGTAGCTCGAGCTAAAAATAACGCTTCTGGATACGCTATAGAGTTGAAAACAGCAAAGTCGATGGATCTTCTCCGTTGGGACCTCCACAGAACATAACATCCATACTAACAACTACAAAATTTCTGATATGGATACATCCCCGTTCGCACCGCAGGTACTTACAGAACTGCCTGGGGTGGCTGAGTGACGGACTGAGAATCATGTTGCAATGCCTCCTGTCTAATTAGACACTCCCGCTCCGTGAAATCCGAGTTTGAATGTGGCTTACGTCTAGGGGCAACATCGGTCACATATGCGGCTTCTCATGCCTTCGGTCTTCTTCACCGGAGCCAGGTGGGGGAAGGGAGAGAGTGCTGTACGTTCAACGCCATTTTTCTTAATTGCTAACGTACTTTGTGCTTAAATCACTACGCTTGCTTCCAGCCTGTTTTAAAGCCCGCGGTTGCCATCGTCAGAGTCGACGGTCGAACTTTTATGTATTACACAGGATGTTAAATATTTGTGAGGTATTTGGGACGAGAGCAATGCACGATGTAGAGTTCTACACTGACCACCACTGGCGATTATACTGCCTATCCACAACTGCTATGAAAATTCCGGCTCTCTTGCCTCCCTTTTTTGTAGGGCTCGCTATCATTATTACTTTCAATAATATTTCTTTTTTACAGGAAGAAACAATTTCCAACGGAGGCATCGGGCTCGAGCTTCGCAAGGTAATTTTAACAGTCTCTGGTAGATTTGTAGTGCATTTAGGCTTCCAAATCAGTACTGCTAAATCGACTTGTAAGAGTTTATTAACTCCCTACATTCGGTTTATTTTAGTCACAAGAAGATTTGTGTGAAAATGACTGCATTAACAGCGGGAATGAGTGGCAGCCTTCTCCATCGTCGTCACCTACACCAGGTAAGGTGAACCATGTAACGCTGACAACAACAACGGTGGATTTGAACGCGGCAACATGCCTACCTATTTCCGCTGATGTCTCTGATCCATCAATTTCTCTGGAGGCAAACACTTCTGGTGCGGCCTTGTCTTATCATTCCGAGGAAGAGGAACCTACTGGCGAGGAACCTGCAAACCATTCAGGAGGCGACCGCAGTTTGCGTGAGTAGTGACTACTTCTTTTGGCTTTTCCCTGATCCGTCTAGCTTGGTCCTGTGGTGCTGTGATTTGAGACCCACGACATAAGCGTCATCTTTTACGGAGTAAGTCTCCGACATATCTTCACTCAGACACGTTTCCTGGAAGTTTCGGGGGAAATAATAATGAGTCAATATTGTTTTGTTCTATGGGGCCAGGGCGTAGGATTTAATCAAGAGGAAAAGTCTGTAGAATAAGGAGTAATTTTAAATCTAGCTTTATAAAAAATTGTGAAAGTATTTGCGATTCAACGTGTCAAGTTAGCTTTTGACGGAAAGTACTTGATTCTTCGTGGCACATTTGTGATCATGCCGGATGCAGCCGGTGAGGGCCATATCGAAACAGGACATTGTTATTAGCAGTCCGTGTGCTGTATTACGGCCTTCAGCACCCTGTTAGCAGTGTCACTGCTGTTCCACGAGTACTTATTCGTCAGATCCGAGAGTCTGGTTTATTCTGCAGCTGTCTTTTGCTGAAAACCTTTGTTTTATTCCTGTCCTGTAGGTGCGCTTGGCAACCCGTCCTGAGTAATCATGGAGAACATCTGGTTTCTCTCTCTCTCTGTGTGTGTTATCTATGGAATTTAGTAGATTTCCCTTCCTAGCCAGAAGAACTATCCCCCCGTCCTCGTCAGTTAGAAAGCACTTGCTGCTTTGGAAGGCTGCCTGAGAGGGGAAGGGATGAGCTGAGCGAATCAGCTATGTCTATACATAATATTACAGGCCCCGAATGTCCCGGTTTCTGCAGCACGTCTGTAAATAACCAAACAGATTGGTATGCGCCCTAAGTGCGCTTGACCACATTGGTCGGGTGTGGTTTTCTACTGCAAGTAGTGCGGCTGTTATGCGATGCAAAACGATCGTTTACCTGTTGGTATTATGTAGATGGCAAATGGGAACTTTTCTATTCCTTAATTCAGACTGGAATTCCGTCGTCTTGGTCAAGAAACCGGGCTCGTGAGTTTGCCTGGAAGCCTTAAACTACTCGAGCAGCCATCTCCGCGGACTCGGGCTCTTGTGCCCTATACTGTTTTCGATTTCTCCGTGGTCACTAATGGTAGCATCATTTGAAACCGCCGGTGGTCCCTGCCCATTTCAGACTTTCAGTTGCAACTGCCTTCATTCTAACATACGTTAACCTGATATTGTACCTCGTTGGCCTTTTCTGCCAATAAATCCTTTGATCGTACCAAAGGTTTTTTATTTGCATGGTACTGAGTATCGTCCTAGACTGCAATGACGAATTGACTGCCATTCAGCCAGAGTGAATGCCTTCCCATCCGCTTCTCCTTTTCTGCTTCTCTTTACGGATACACGTTTGTAATTGATTACTGATTAAGTAGTTGCTTGCGTCGGGCTGGACTGCACACTTCTGCACTCAAACCAAGGGAAGTAATCTACTTGGATATCTATCAACTATCCTTTGAAGAAGTAGAGGCCTACCTAACTATCTTTCACATTCGTGGGAAATGCCTATAGACGGTTTACACGGTTTTGCCAAATAGAGCTGTTGAACTGTTGAGGAGTGTTTAAAAGGGCTTAATCATCGCTAACCCGCTCACATATTTAGTGGTAGACAATAAGTAATACTTTAACATACATACGGCAGGGGCACTTGCTAAAATCCCAGGTACGCCTTTTTCGATAATGACGGATAGATTTAAGGTTGCGAAAATTCCCATCACAGAAATCCGAAGAGTAATTGGCGAGC